ATCTTTAAAGAACTGGTTACCCTGAAATATCAGAGGAAACAGCCACTCTAAATATAGATTACAGTAATCAACATACACTATATAGCCAAATACCTCTCCTAATTATCGAGTTCAGGTGTTTCAGACACACCCATACGGGTGCGACGTACAAGTGTCCTCATCTTTGGCCATATAGTGTATAAACAACAGCAGTAAAGCATTGAACACTGTACTATGTAACTTCTTGATCTCTCAGGAGAGAATGTTCAAGTCTGTAATATAACTTTTTTTTGCTTTCGCAATAAGAAAGAATACAGGTTCTTGTGAGTGCTATTTGTGAATTTTAGGAAAGAAACTGCACTAGAGGTCTGAACAAGTCAGGTTTACCCAGATGGATCTCACGTGATCTGCAAAATAATTTGCAGGGGGGATTTACTTTTGTGACCTTGCAGTCATAACCAGCAAACAGCCAAGAGGTTGCTTGGATTGGCTGCTTGTGGAAGCGGATAGGTGGGTAACAAATAAACAAATAAAAGTGTGTCACACAGAAAATAGGTTAATAATTATTACATGATACTTGATATTACTTAAATGAAGAAATATAACAAGAAGAAATTGTTGCTGTGTTGACAATTTCCCAAAGTTTCCAAGGTTTCCTGTAGGCCTTCATGCTTTCTAGTGATAAACAATTAGACCTTGAGGTGGAAAAGGTTGAGAGCCTTGGTGTAGCCAATCTACACCAGTGAAGCGAAAAAGACTATAGAGCAAGCAGGGTGAGTGTGGGCAGGTATCATATATGGTTTAAGCAGGTGCATATGGGCAAGAATGGCACTAGATTTTGTAGGTGCGTTATGTGGTTGAAGGTGCCACACCCATGTAGACCTCTAACATGCATCTTTCTTTAATAATTTAGACAATTCGGTGCTGTTGTTCTGATCATTTAAAATCTTTGACTGTGGTTTTACAAAAAACGTAATAATTCATCACAAAGGATTCTTACTTTTTCCTTCTCTCTCATGGCTAAGTCTCTGTCCACCTGCACCTCCTCTAAGTCAGAGCCATTCGATTCTGGACTTTCTTCTTTGTCCACTGACTCAAGGGCCTTCTCCTGTATCAGAACAAAGAAAACAGTCATAAAATCAACAATAACAACAACCCAAATTCCATGTTCTCAGATTGAAGCGTAATGAGCTGCAAAGAAAAGAGCACTACCACATCAAATTTGTCCCAGGACTGATAATCATAAGACTTGATTCTCTGTGCTGGCTTCTGCTCCTCTTGGCCACTCTTGTTAGGGACTTTGCTTTTGACTCTTCGTTTCTTCTTGTAATTCTTGTTTCTTACAGGTGGGAGACTTCGCTATGGTATATAAAAGAACCTTCAGAAAAAGCTTCCAACCACTTTGACCGTGTTAGAAGACCTTAGACAGCAGAACACAAGAAGATGAGTAACACACCAGAGGTTCTGTCAGGTTTCCTGCACGAAGCTGTTCATCTTTCTGTTTTATGTCTGTCTCCCAACTATCAAGCTCCTTCATGAAGTTCTGGAGATCCTCCGCATTCTGACGCATCTGCATTTGCAGTTCAATGGCTTTATTGCCCCCTGACATGCTCACGTTTTTCTCTTAATCTGAAACGGGACAATTCAGAAAGAACAAATGACACAAAAAGCTTTAGTAGCAAAACATATGTGAAGACAAACTACATGGCCAAATATATGTGGGCACTCCTTCTAATTAGCGGATTTGGTTGTATTGGTCTCATCCTATGCTAACAGGTGCATACAGTCATGCAATCTCCATAACTCAACATGGCACTGTTACTGTGAAGAGGAAACATCTAAGAGTAACAACAGCTCAGCTGTGAATCAGAAGGCCACACAAGCTCACAGAATGGGACTGTGTTGAAGCTCTCAACAGTGGAAACACGTTCACCGCAGTGATGAATTCACCATCTGACAGTGTGACAGATGAATCTCGGTTTGGCAGATGCTGAGAGAACGCTCACTGCCTGAATTTACATTACCAACTCTCTTCAGCTAGCTCTGTTTTGGTTTAGCAACTAGAATAACTGTTTTCTGATGAGCTACATTTTAAACTGTCTAAACTGCATGGCTAAATTACACTTAAACGGTTGTCAGCGTTGTTTCGGTGCTACTATTTGTTTTATCTTTAAAGCAGAAATTATTTGAATAAAATTGTAAAGTTCTGTTACAAGCCACCTTCAAAATAGTACTGACTGGACTGGACTGATTAATCAGTTTTTAAATATTCATTAACTGCAGCCCTATTTAATATACACATGCATGTTAAGTATAATATTTAAATATGAGTGGCTATAAAGACTTACTTGTGTACACAACTAACATTTATGAATAAACATAAACCAACCAGCCACATCATTAGGTACCTTCTTGGATCTACACTCATTGCCCATTTTATCAGCTCCAGCTATCATACAGATGCACTTCATAGTTCTACAATTACAGACTGTAGTCCATCTGTTTCTCTACATACTTTATTATGTTCTTCAGAGATCAGGACCACCACAGAGCAGGTACTATTTGGGTGGTGGATCATTCTCAGCACTGCAGTGACACTGATATGGAGTTCGTGTGTCAGTGTGTGTTGTGCTGTTACAAGTTTCTAAACACTGTGTCCACTCACTGCCCACTCTATTAGACATGCCTACCTTGCTGGTCCACCTTATAGATGTGAAGTCAGAAACAGTAGCCTACTTGTTGCTGCACATTTTGTTTTGTGTTGTTCATACTCCAGTCCTTCATCAGTGGTCACAGGATGCTGCCAAGATACTGTTGGCTGGATATTTTTGGTTGGTGGACTATTCTCAGTCCAGCAGTGACTCTGTGGTGTTTAAAAACTCCAGCAGCACTGCTGTGTCTGATCCACTCAGACCAGCACAACACACACTAACACACCATCAGCATGTCAGTGTCACTGCAGTGCTGAGAATGATACAGTGCTCAGATAATACCTGCTCTGTGGTGGTCCTGTGGGGTCCTGACCACTGAAGAACGGGATGAAAAGGGCCTAACAAAGTATACAGAGGAACAGACGGACAACAGTCTGTAACTGTAGAACTACAAAGTGCTCCTGTTCGGTAAGGGGAGATGATAAATGTGTAAAAACAGTGTTGTACTTAACGAAGTGTCCGGTCGGTGTGTGTATCCGACAGAAGATAAATAAATGTGAAACAAAAAGCCTCAGCTCTGCTCTTATTCTTCTTTCTGCTCTACACTGTGGGGGGTGAGTCTCTGAGTTATCTAGAAGCTTCTCTGCAGGCGGCGGAGACCATGAAGAAACAAAGAAAGCCTTAAACCGAGCAAATAAATGGCCTAATAACGACAAAGTCACATATTATTACTCACTTAAACAAATAATTAAATCAATAGTTTGTAACCGATGCGGCTCTCTAGGCAGTTTCGGCGGTTCAGGAGTGAACGAGCCGATTCTTCACATGTGATGGAGAAAACGAAACGAAATAGTAAAACACTAAGAACACACTAACATACGAACAGAGCAGTAACGCTGCTGTCAAACTCGCCGCTACATAATAAAACAGATGTTTAACTTACACTTTAATCAGCACAACTCAGGACTCGTGTTGACGGAATCTGTTTGGGTTCGGCGCCATGACAGCCAAGTACCAGCAGCCTTTGCGCTTCAACCTGAACAAAGATGTTCGTGAAAAGCACCGAGATGATGCAAAAACGAGGACGCGGAACGAGAAGCACAACCGAGCGCGCGAACCGAGTTCTGGTGAACTAACAGCGCACGGGCAGCGGCGGACCGAGTTAGAACCAGTTCGAATCGGAGCGCAGCCTTGAGCCTCGTCTAAGAGTCGATTCCACAGAATGATTTAGATTCCAAAAGCCAAAACGTAGAGAAGGACAAAAAAAGAGCACAATACTAATTGAAGGGTTTCGTTCATAAATGCCTTTCAGACCACTTACAGTTTTTTTCTTTTATTTTTTCTTCACGTTGTAGGGTGATGTAAATACTCTATTATGATAAATATCACCTTTATTAGACAAATAAATGTTTTTTTTTCTATTAACAACAGTTGTTTTTTGTTTAAAAAAATGTAGAATTGCTACAAATAGATATAGAGCATTTTGGAATATAAATCTTCAATTATATTTAACCTTAGCGAGGCCATTTGAGGAGCTAAAGCTACCTAAATTTACTTGATCCCTCCTCTGTCCTACAGCTGGTTTTGGCGCTGACACTGCTGTCTGATTGTGAGCCAATTTTTCGCTAAAAAATGTACATTTTAACTTGTTTTTCTCTCGTGTCTGTCGTCTTTCTACAACACACCACAGTTCATTTTACAGAATGTCACTCTGTGCGCGCGCGGCTGCAGACTAACACGTAGAGGAGAATCACCGCTCTGTAATGTCTTCCGGGTTTCTCCAACGTTAGAGGGCGCGCTCGAGCGAGTCCAAAATGAATGGGTTAAGATGGAGCATTCGAGCAAAATCATAGTTTATAAATGCTTAAACATGTTTAATATAAAATAATACATTCATTTTCTAAACACAGAACAGTATTAAATATTTTAAAACCGTTGTTATATCTTGAGTGCTTTTGAACTTGAGTTACAGAAGTTAAACATGGCGCCTCATGTACGTTCATAACTGCTGCCTAAAACCCGTTTGCTGTAGAAAAAAAATGTACAGGTTAGTTTTCTTTGTTTTGTTTTTTTTGTTTTTTTTTAGAGAAAAACATCCCTGTGGCTGTGTGGAATCGAGTCCAACACTTTAGAGTAGATTCTCGACTCTCGAATGGAATCGGGGAATCGATTCTTTTAGGGATCGACTCACAGCCCTACGTTCCGCGTTCCTCGACTATTCTAGATAACATAGCCACGTGGATCCACATGCTGGTCGGCTCGGCCTGTATATTCAGTGAGGCCATGAGCTACAGATCAGGCGAAGCCCAGCAGGCTGGTCTCCTCAGCACGAGTTCTCTGGTCTCACCCCCGCATTCTCCACGGCTTTTTTAAAAATGGCGACCACTTGAACCTCTCGTGTTAAGGCTCTGTGGCCTCCCCTCCCCCTCCCTCTCCGTGGATCATCACCTTTTACCTTTAACCACATGACCAACAGAACCGAAAATGACCCCTTCTGTATGTGTGTCCAGGCTCATATCTGAGAGCTGAGCAGTTCATGTCGTCGTGTGGACACATCAGATGGATTAATGGATCAGACTAAAGAACAAGACGAGGATTACGGCTACAACCTGTTCCCGGAGAGAAAGAAGAGCAAATACAAGAAAGGCTCCATCGGAGAGAGTCTGTTCACTTTCAACCACAAATGTCAGGTCATGCTGCAGTTCGCAATCGAGACAAGTACGTTATTTATCTCAGAGCTGTGCTCACAGTCACTGTCCCTGACCGCGCCCTGAGACCCTGAGACCAGCCCTGTTGGTCAGATCAGCTCAGCGCTGTCTAACACAGCCCGATCTAACGCCGTGACTGAATCAAACAAACATGCGTGCTCGTTTAGTAACGTGAGCGCGTTTGAGTTACGCTGCACACGATCAAGTGCGCTGACGTTTAATATAAACAAAGAGTCTGATGGCCTGTTTTGATCTGGACCCCTACAGTACAGCTAGAACCATTAAGGTTAAAACTGGAACAGAAAGACCTTCGATCCCACATTGCAGCTCCAGAGAGGTCATAATGATGCTGCATCTGTTCTTTAAGAATGATTGAATTTCTCTCTAGAGACAGTTGTGCATAAGCTTTCAGAGAAGGACTGATGATGCTTTTAAGACACAGAATGGTACTATATCCACATATTGTTTTTTCCACACTTATTTTTCAGTAAAGCGAAACAGATGATCTGGAGATCAGTTCTTAGATATGCTGTTGCGCTTTGGCAGCAACAGTAGTGGCTGCACTTTTGAAAAATGCAGCAAATGCAGTATTTCCTGTATAAACGGTGTGGTAACCTCCCAACTCATAAACAGCATTAGGTGACAAATAGCTGTTTCGTATGGACAGGTCACTGTTCCCTGCCTTACAGTGTGGCTTTTGATTAAAAGTTCTGACAGGCCAGGAAGTGTATAACATTACAGATGTTTTACTTGCAATATCTAGAACTCAGATCCTGGAGTACCACCCTGTTCTACACATTGTACTCTTTTCCCTGTTCTGACTCATGATTCAACCTATCAGCTAACTAACAAGTGCAATGTGTCGAAGTGTGTCACCCTTACCAAGTGTCCAAAAGCACAGTACGTAAGGCCACATTAAACTCACACTTGGTTGTGCTTGTACACTTTTAATAAGCTCAGAAATACATCACCTTAGTGTGCATCTAGACAAAACCAAAACCTGCAAGTAGGGCTGAACAATTTGGAGAAGACCTATAATTGTGATTTACTGACCAGTATTGTGATAGTGGATTAAAGTGTAAGGCCCAGGCCTCTTAGTTTGGCCAAGAAGACCAGCACATCCATTTTTTGGCTTGAGGATTGAATATGGCATAATGTGAGGTAGTTGTGGGTGTTTGGCTGTTTCTGATTGGGTCTAACTCATCTACAGGCAGTTCACAAGCTCCATGTTATTAGGATCATTTTCCCCACATGTAGGCTGTAAATAAAACTGCAGCTCTTATGATTTGGAAAATCCAAATTTTGATTTCAATATAAAATGGGATTGATCTTTCAGCTGCAACTGCAAGTGTGAACTGTTAGGGGCTGTTACATAACACTTAAATGTGCAGGACAGGTGGCTTCCAGCATGACGGTGAAGAACCACTGGGCTTATGGCGTAACGCTTCTTGTTGCTGAATGTGGTTCACTACAGCATTCTCTAATCCAGTCAGCAAGGTGTGACTGAATGAAAAAATGTCCAGGTAAATAAACATCACGTGTCTAAAATGCAAACCTGTAACCAGGTCTTTCTGCTTCTTCCTCTTTTAGGTCCATATGCAAAACTTCTCCTTGGAGCTATGAAGAATTCAGGCTGGTAATGTACACTTATTGCCCTCATTGACTGCTTCAGTCGTCTGTCATTAGACATCTGAATTTTGAGTGGTATGTCACTAACAATATCTTGATTCTTATCTCCTTAGTACAGTCTACAAAGACAGGCATTTCTCCTGTGAAGACTGTGATGGAACTGTCAGTGGTGGCTTTGATGCTACAACATCTCAGGTAGGAGTTGTGTCATGCCTAATGTGAATGTCAGTTTCAGTGTCTGTAAACGTGGACTTATGGTCATTTTCTTTAGTTCAGTCATGATCATGTGCATGCATGAGGGCAAGTAGCCCTCAGTGATAAATAAAGAACTGTGAATAAGTTTATGTTTACATTTCTCCCAGAAATATTGCATATTTGTGTCATTATATAATGCATATTATTGCATAATGTTAAATGAGAGAGGTTTCCTGCAAAAAACTGTGGGTATCTTTTGCAGATTGTGTTATGTCAAAACAACATTCACCAGCAGGCTCATATGAACAGAGTGGTCACACATGAGCTCATTCATGCCTTTGACCACTGCCGTGCACATGTCGACTGGTTCAATAACTTCAAGCACTTGGCCTGCTCAGAGGTGAGAGGGGATGCTGCAGTTATGGTCTTTGACTGTCATTTGCCTAAGACATTCTCTTAAGCTGCAGCGGCACTTTATCCAAATACTTATCATGTTTTCCTTTAGATTCGTGCAGCTAATCTGAGTGGAGATTGCTCCTTCACCAACGAACTGTCCAGGTTTAATTTTGGCCTCAAACAGCACCATCAGGTAAAGTGTTTACATGTAAATTACTTATGTTGAAATGCTTATAAAGTTGATTTAGTATATCTTCGGATGGCCAAAAATCATTAAAGAGAGCCTTATCCTCAGTTTTTCTTTTATTTTGTTAATTTCCCCAAGGTTCACTCGACATTTGTGTTGTTTTACCCAAAACTGTAATCATTAGTTTTTTACATGACCATTTTCCAAATTCTTTTTATCCCTTAGAATTAAAAGGCTATTTTTGTTACTCTGCCTTTAAGACTGATGTAAATGGCTTCTGTTCTGATTTGCAATCCCGTATTGTGCTTCATCCAAAAACCACTCTAGACTGAAACACTCCTTAACACTTAAGCATGAATAGGCGGAACTAAACTGCTGTAGGTGAATTCAAAACAAGCTGATTTTACTGCTTTGATTTATAGACTTTTATCTAACTTTATATCATCACTGTCCAAAAAAAAACTATGTATTTCCATTTTTTTTTTCATTTTTCTATTTCATCTGAGCAGAGCAGTTGTCTGTTACATTGCATGAACATTTAATAATGATTGAATTAATAGAAATGTTCAAAAGTAGCATGGAGTAAAGCTCTTTTCTTTAACTTACATTAAAAGTTAAGAATGTCTTCTGTAAACTTACCATTTTGCACCTGTTTTTTTGGACAGCGATGATATACCATATGTTACTACAAACACTGTATTAAAAAAAGCTACACATTCAGATTTTCACAATACGGGACACAAGACATATCAAAACAAGACATATCAAAACAAACCTCTGGCTTAACCTTCAGATGCCTCTGTGACATGGGATGTTTTAATGCATTGCTTATGCAAGTGTGAGTTTACCCATGACCTGTATACATGCAAAAATATGTATATTCAATTAACTGAAAATAACAAATTTTTTGTTCCTTATGTGGACTAAATGATACATATGATACTAAGATTTTCTGAGGTTTAATAAAGCGTACTGGCTACAGTAAATCTAGGTAAATAAGACTAATGTACTTTCTTTATAATAAAAGTGCAGTAAGTCCGTGTTCTTTAAGTACAAGTTCATTATTTCATTTTATGCTACACAAAATCTAAGTAAACAGGACTAATAATGCTCTCTTTATAATGAATCCTGCCGTTGGTCAGTGTTCCACAAGCACTGACGATATCCACGATACACTCAGCAAAGTACATTGTTTTGTATTGTCACCTAATTTAGCACGATAATGATAAACATCATCATGTTGCTCGACTCTAACTATACATAAATATCGCAAATGCAGTAAGCAACATGGTCATGAAGAGAGACATGAGACCGATAACAATCTTCCATCTGAAAACTTTTTATCTACTCTTTCTCTCTATGGGCTTCCATACATGTTTAAACAAGTGAGTTATAAGCTTGGAATAAAATGTAAAAATTGTGTAGAAACAACATTAATGAGTTATAAATTATGAATATATTACAAAGCGTGGAATGCATCAAGGGAGCAACTGTACTGTCATTATACATATCTGCCATTCTGCTGCAGGCCCCACTATCTTAAGTTGCCTTGCACTTTTTACACTACTGTAACTCCTCCTGACTGTATGTTCAGAAGAACTGTATAATAAGTTAATTTTTTAATAATAATATCAAATGTGACTAATGGGGTGGTGACACGTTGTGCATCACTTCCAATTCATTGTTAATCTACATTTTGAATGCAAACAGCAGGGAGCGAGCTGACCACTTTCCCTCTTCATATAGATGACCACCATGTAGTACATGAGCAACAAAATATCATGCATCTCCCCTTACCTCCTGCAGGAGTGTGTGCGGGGCCGTGCTCTGCGCTCCATCCTCGCCGTGCGGAAGGTGAGCAGAGAGGAGGCGGAGAAAGTCGTGGACGAAGTGTTTGACAGCTGCTTCAATGACCACACCCCATTTGGCCGCATCCCGCACAGCAAGAAGGACGCCAAGTTTGCCTACAGGGATTTTGAAAACAGGGATCGATACTATGCAAACCTATAACAGTTAAACCGTCCTGCGAGAAACAGTACACAAAGGCATTCAGCTTTCCCTAAAGGTGCTGAAACAGTAAAATAAGCTCCATCATAGCAGTTGCTGTATCTCTCGACACTAGCGCTGGCACAGTCATCCTCCAGTGTGAACAAAGGGACAGAACGTCGGTAGCTCAGTATCTTCATAAGACACCACTGAGGCGTCCCATGTTATAATATTCATGATCCACATTTGTATTTTCTTTGTGGTTGTTTCTTATATTATACTGAAAAAGGAGAACTTCATAACAATGTATGATGGAACGTTGTGTTTTTTTATTAAGGAAATGGTCCAGAATGTGTTTCACACAGTCATTTTAATTAGATTCTTCAAGCATCAATATGGTATAAATATATGGTATTAAGTTACGGCTGATTAATGAGTGAAAACAGTATAAGACATCAGCCTTTTTCATAAAATTCCGTAAAATACTTGCCGTGCTTTTTGTTTTCACGAAGGGCAAGTACATGTATACTCATTGACTTCACTTGCTATGACGAACCAGGGCGGACACCAGTGTGAGAGATGTGAACAGAGTAGACAGACTGAAGGAGAAGCTTGGGAAGTGGAAGTGGAAGTGGGAGTGACTATCAGGGATTTTGCAGCTGCTGTGATCAATGCCATGTGGACCACTGCATCCACTGCTGTGACTGAACTATAACTGAATATTTCACAGTGTTGTTTTGTGCCAGAATAAAGAAAAAACATACCTGATTATTATGAAAACTTGTGCTCTGTGTATTTTCTACTACAGCACTGTACTCAGTGACATTACTTCTGGAGGGATGGGGACAGTTGACAATCGCGTGGATGCTCATGGTGCTGGGGGTGCGACTAGGTCCCCCGCTATTGGGCCCCTCAAATAGATACTGATACACCTGTATCTGTACACCAATGACTCACAGAAACATTCAATTACTTAACAACATACCTCCCTAGTTTATGTCTATCTCGAGATGCATCTCATCCATGGTGACCATTTTCAAACAGGTTCTTAATGACCTGCAACATGATCAGTTCATTATGTATAATTCTAAAATCTTAAATACATAGTCTAACATAAACATTTGGGTTAATGTTAGTGAGTTAAGTGGCATTCCTTGAGAGCATCGGGTTGTTTAAGACTTGGTGTCCAAGCAAATTATATTGTCTTTTTTTTATTCATTCAAAATAATTTTTGTAATGGAGGGCCATTTTTTGCACTATGGTCTATACAATCCTAGTTACAACACTAACTGGCCTGTCTGTAAAAGTTAAAGGGATTTGTAAAGTCTTGACTAGAATGAGTAAGATAATTGTAGCGCTGTGGGAAGCCACGAGGGGGCAGCACTTACCTAGAAATAATAGTTTAGGGATTTTCACCATTTACTTTTTTTTCTTAGGGATAAACTCTATTAATGAAGGACTTTAAATTTATTATTATTATTATTATTATTATTGTTGTTGTATAATTAATGTCTGATTATTGGATATTTACAATTGTTTTAGGGCATTTGATGATTATAAGTGATTGTTTAAAGACTGTAACAATTACTAAGATGCATCAACATCATCTATGGATATCTTCCCTTTGCCTGCTAGGCCTGCATTGTTGCGTTCTTTAGCTCTAACTTGTAAAATGAATGTTCTATCAACCTAAACAAGGTGTGTAACCAGTAAAATATGGCCTGTGCAAAAGTTATGGTGCATTTTATATTTTCTGTTTTATATGTTAAACTAAACCAAAATTATGCACTAAAAATTGCAGGAAAATGTCATGTCTTTTGACTTTACAGTGGGGTTCAAAAGTCCGAGACAACATTGAAAATCTGGGATTTTTTCATTTAAACTTGGAAATAACAAAGTTTTAGAATTTTAAAAAAGTTACAAGAAGTAAAATGAAGAAATACTGCAGATTCTGCATGATTTCTCTATCACTATTCAAGTTTTAGCAAATTTGTGACATCCACCATGTAAAGGCCTTTGTTCAAAATGGTCAGATTTGTTTTAGTCTTATCTCTTCCACTGAAGCTCAAGTTTAGACGACTCTCACATATGTCTGTTCTGCTCATCCATGGTTTTTGGAAAGTAGAATTTTTTTAATATTTAAATTAGTTTTAGAATTTTTAAGTATTTGATACAGTAGCTAGATAGAGTGCATGTTCATTAAAGCAAAGGGGGGATCTACTGTATCAAATACTTAAAAATTCTGAAAATTAATTTAAATATTAAAAAAAATTCTACTTTCCACTTGCTGTGCTGATATAATTTGTAATAAAAACATTCTCAACACAGCAGTGACATTGACGTAGCAGTGAGTGTGGTGCTGGTACCATGGCTAACAACTGTGCATGCAAACTGCACAAACAAAAGGGACCTAAAAGGTAGCCGTTTCCAATAAAGTGGCCAGTGAGTGTAGGCCTGCAAAATGAGCCATTGTACTCTATGTAACAACAGGTAAAACAAACATTTTAAGGTCTAATTTGAACAGTCAGCTTCCTAGTGATTTATTAATTAATTATCTATTTACACTCTAACAAACAACATGAAGGTCAAACAAAGCTCAGCCTACCATGCTGTAAAGATGATAGATCATAGCTCATTGTTCTTCCATGCATCTCAATTATATTAAACATTGTCAGCATTCACAACACAGTAATTAATATTTTCAGACATGGTGTGAATACTCACTCTGCTAATGATATGTGTGGTATTAATTAAACGATTAGCATAGTGAGCACTGGACTCATCCTGGGGGAGAAGAGCTATGTTCTCCGTTTGCCAGTTGCATGTTTGTTAATGAAGCCCCCTGTCATAGTAACCTTGACCAACTTTTCTCCCTGCTCATATAATTCATCTGATTTATTATGAAATTGATAGCCGCTCTGCTAAAAACAGTAATGTAAAAACAGCCTGTGTCAATATAAGGGACAGAAAACTTTGAGGCATTTGAGGCTATCCTACATGCTTAAAGATATTTTTTTTTTTTAGCAAAGACGGTGGTTCAATATAGAACCATGAACACACAAAGAACCATTTTCATGCTTAAAAGGTTCTTTACATTGTGAAATTGTTCTTCAGATTGATGGAGAATGTGTTGTATATGGTTCCATATATGTTTCTTCTATTGTTACAAGCTTGAGATCATAACAATAGCAGAACCATTTTTGGTGCTGTATAGAACCCTTTTCAAAAAGGTTCTCTACACTCTTTAAAAAGATGGTTCTTCAAAGGTTCTTTAGTAGTCCTATATAGAACCATGAATACACAAAAAACCCTTTGCATGGTTAAATGGTTCTTTGAATTGTGAAATAGTTCTTCAGTTTAATGGAGAATGTGCTGTAGATGGCTTTACATAGAACCTTTTTAAAAAGGCTTCTATATAGCACCAAAAAGGGTTCTTCTATTGGTTTGATGTCAAGCTTGTAACAATAGAGGAACCCTTTTTGGTGCTATATCCATCTATCCATCTACAGCATATCTCTCCATCAATCTGAAGAACACTTTCCCAGTGCAAAGAACCCTGTAATCATGTGAATATGGATCAGTAAAACACAGAACTTTTGTCCTGATTCCTGGAGTCCCCAAGGTGAAAATACTCCTACAGTCACAAATGTTAAAGGACAATTCCATAGATTATTTCAAACTTCATGCATAATTCAAGCATTAAGATGTGAACAAAGTCATTAAGAGTGGTCTGATGTGAAATGTGCTGTTCTAAAGAAATTTACTGAGATCACAGCAGTGGCGATAGGAACCAGACCTCTAATGCAGGGGCCACTAGACTTATTCACAAAGGGCCAGTGTGGCTGCAGGTTTCCATTCAAATCAACCAGAAGCCACACCTGATTCCACTTGTTTAATCAGTAGGTCTCAGTATTCAAACAGTTGATTAGTTATATTGAGGAGCTCCTGCAGCCACACCGACCCTCTGCAGATAAGAATGGTGACCCAGGCTCTAAAAGCTACTTCAGAGAAACTTATTACTTTAAATGGTTGCGAATTAGTTGCCTAATGCCTGAGATGTTTTACATTTGAGATATAATGTTTTAGGAAGTTTTATTAAAAATACATTTATGGCAAAGAGATGCATGCAGGGCATTGTAAGGGAAAATCATCCCCAAAGAAAACTTATTTTTCATTTCATTTGTCTTTAAAATAAATAAATAAAACAGATCACAATTTGTGGTGGCCTGTAACACTTCACCACCAATTCCATTTGTTTTTCTTCTTGATGTCTTTTTCACCCTCCTGAACTTTGTGTCTGGGTCACTTGCTGTTAGAGGTGTTGCAGCATGTAAAGCTGGTAAAAATAGACTTGCAAACATGAAGTCAGAATACACTGTCACTCCAGCGGTTTGCCCTGCACTAGATAACTAGCATACCATACTGCTATCAGAATCAACTAACATAATACTGGAGAAGGTTAGTTAGCATTTACTTTAAAGAAATTATGATTTACTGAAATCACTGCAATTGACATAGACAGCTATAATATTATTATATGAGGCTATCTAACAATAGCTAAAGGTTACTCCTATGTAGTAGTGTTCCCCTTTACCTTTGGTCTTCAGAGCTGCATAAACTGTGCTGGCTCTAGTTAATAAGTGACATAAGCAGTTGATTAGGGCCCTGTGGCCACCAGGGGGCCTCCTAACAATTTCTGGGTTACTACTGCACCATTATGTTGTCTAAGATGCTCAAATGAGGGAGGGAGCATCTTGTTAATCACCTCTCAAAATAAATGGAAAACAAAAATCTAATATGAAAAAAAAAGCTAAAAGATATTTTGGTATTAACATTCTTGAAACCGTTGTATACAACAAACCCCAGGATGACTGCAGTGTGGGTGCTAGAACCGTCTCGCCTAGCAGCAACTAGCATGCCACGTTTAGTCACACATTTTAGGTCACTCATTTTACCCATTCCAACACTCGAATAGTAAGTGATGCCAGAAATAGTGGTCTGCCTGATTTATACCACGCTCACAGTCTTGCAACATATGACTCACTGAAATATGCAATATATGAGGGGGTGAGTAGTGTAGCTAATAATCTGGTAACTCTGGTATAAACTAATATTTATTAGAATTATTAGATGTAATCTCAGAACTGTATTCAAGGATGGAGTTGATACCAGCACTGATGGTCCTTGTGCTAAAGATTATTTCTAAGATATAACAGCTCACACTGGTCCAAAAATGGCCAGAGGTACCAAAAAGGAAGGGACAATTGGCATCCCTTATGAGCGAAATTAAGCTAACCTCTGCCTCTCTCTGGTAGTGAGAGTGACTCTCCTGCCGGCTGGATTTGTCACGCCTCATGCTCGCTGGCCTCAGGCATATCAGGGGACATGAACCCGAACGACTTGAGCTGAGAAAATTAGCCTCTCCAGCAAGGACGGCATACTACCAAAAAAAAAAAAAGGACCAGAGGGTTTTGGAGCTCCTTTGTCTCTTACCCAGTGGTCCCAATCACAGATCTCAATGCACTGTGATAAGTGAAATGAGGAGATTCTCTCTTCACACATCAGTGGATAAGGAGGATGTAACCGTAACTATACACACCGTCTTTGGCATGGTTGCCTTTTAAGGCCTATGACCTCCTTCACACAGACCTTGTCTGTACATTCTAACCTAGTTTTTGATCATACAGTAGCAACAGAACATGATACACTCAACTTTTACGCTGTTGTAAGTGAGGCCAGTGACACCCTGGATCTGCAATTTGCATGTACGTTAACCTCAG